CGTGAATTAGCTTACGCCTGGCGTAAGCTACGCCAGTCTTACGCCGTGTGTGTGAACATAGCCTAAAAGTATAAAAGATACAATACATAAAAATGAACCATACAAAGAGAAATAAAATGATACATTTCATGATAAAACAACTATTATTTACATACACATGAGGGTGGTGGAGGAGTAGGGAGCGAGGTTAAGGCAACCCTGGATTGCTCATTTTCACTGGCATACCACCATTCTAGAAACTGTAGGAAAAATACAGCCACGGAAAGTCCTTGGGAAATGCCTTGAGCTGAGAGAGCAAGGAACCGCCTACAGTATATTAATAGTTTACTTGTCCAACTGAAAAGATAAGTTGAATTTGATTACAAGTTATTTATATATTTATTATACTGTGTTTAAAAAATGATAAATCTTACAGCAGTATCGTATCCAGGAGTTGGTAATGGGTGTGGTGCTGAATAGAAATACTACATCCACTTAACTGTACGCAAGGCGCAAAACCTGGAACGGAGCATATCAATGGCTATGACTACACCATCACTTTGCCAATATTTCCATTAATTGATTTTTTTTTTACACCTGAACAAAAAGGCACCTTGAAAACCCCCTGGGTGCACCACTGCAGAGCAAAAAGACAAATATTCTAATCTGCTGCAATTTTCTTTCAATAGCAATGTACTCATAAGCAACGATATAAACATCCATATGACAATAAATACAGGGGTTTTTTTTAATGGTCTTGTTATTTTTGGAGTCCCATTTCTTCTTTGAAATTTGTTGCCTATACAAACATTTGTCCCACGAACCTGGTTGTGTTTGGAATCTCAGTTTCTTTCTTTACCATAAGGTTCAGCATATCAGCTTTGGTGAGGTTGCTCAATTTAACACCTTTATTAATTCAAAATGATAAAGATAATTAATACTAAAAACAACTATTAAAATCAAAATTATCAACCTTTTATTATCATGTTTATTTCTACACGATTTAGCATCTGAACACAAATCTCAAATATATGTTATAAAATATTATTCAATATTCAATATTTAAAAAAAGTTTCAATTTATAAAATATTATTAAATACAAATGATATTTTATTCTTTATATTTACCAGACAGTTGTATAAATGGAGAGTGGTAATCAGACTTCCTAAACAGGTATGCCATTTGGTATGCTAATACTGCCCCCTATTGATAAAAAATAACAAATTATATTGAAATATACCATCACAATTAACATTTTTTTATAA